AGGGCTGGATAGAAACCAGAGGAAAAACCCACCCTCAGAGGAAAACAGCTGCTTATCTCTGAGAGATGAAGTCCTCTGCATTGTGGGAAATGTTCTACCAGCTTCAACGTCTGTGTCTCTTGAACTCTGTCTCCCTCTATTGGAGAAACTCTATAGTGCAGCACCAGCCAGAGTTCTGGAGAGAGAGCAAGCATATGGACAGGACCACAACAAGATGCTTAAAGCCTCATTGAGACAAGCATTATTAAATAAGACTTGAAGACAGTATCAGATCTTCTGTGTGTGTGTGTTTGAGCACATAGGCCTTTGTATATGTTTGTGTATTCACAAGGTGGCCAACCTTTGACCCAGGTAATCTTTGAACACATCCCGGAGCTACCCGTTCAGCTCTTTCTGGTGTGTGTGTGTGTGTAAGAGAAAGATTGTTTATACTCTGATATAAGACAATATAATGTAATGTGTTAGATGAATGTTGTAGGTTGGGTAGATGTGTATTTGGGGAATGCTGTAGGACTTTGTGCATGTAAAAATTCACGATAGAGGAGTTGTGCTTCTGGGTGGCCCTCATGTGTCTGCGTACATGAATGTGTGTTTCTGATTGTGTCGATGTACACGGACAACAAGTTTTGATATGTACTTATGCACCTAACGCATAATGTGACTAGCCATAAATGTTTATTTGAACACAAACTTAGAATGAATGTATGTTAATGTACAATACTTGTTCCAGGAAGGCTGTTTGTGTGAGTGAGAGAGAGAGAGAGAGAGAGAGAGAGTGTGTGGGTGCGAGAGGGACACACCTGAAGGGTGGGACAGTTGTTCAGCATAATAAACTCTTTCTAGATTATGCTTTGTCTTGGTCACTTATAAGTGCACCACAGAGGACTTGTGTGAAATAAAACACCATTTTTATTCTCTCAAATACATATGGATGAGGATAAAAAGCCTTGTTTTCACAGGGTTGTGTATAAAACTGGTGCTCCTTAGGGAGAGCTGTGAATCAGATAGGAAGACAATGGACAGACCAGTTTTATCTCATTGAATGTCATTTGCAATAGTTCGCTTGCAGCCAATGTCCTCCTGCTCTTTACACAAAGGCAGTTAAGTTGCTGCTCACATTTCAAACAGCCTGTTATTTTAGAATGAGTGCAGTTTATAATGAACTACATGTATCTTTTGTACTACCTCATGGTTTTTGCAGCTGTTATAGAGAGAAAAGAAACATTCATTAATCCCACTGGTAAAATGTGTGACCAAATTGACTTTTAAAGCAAGACACTACAAGTAAATGTGTTTTTTTTTTTTTCATGCATTAGTCAATTTTGGACTATTTTGCTTTCATAATAACATGCCTTGCGTCAGACTAGTGGGAAAAAAACATCCAAAATACACATTTAAGTGTTTATTTTAATACACTTGGTCTATTTGCATCTGTAGATGTCAATTTCAGTACATATTCTATGTCAGTACATGACAATATTTTCAGATTTATGGAGTTAAAAAGAGATTTCCAAAATCTCTTTAAAAACTGCAATATGTCAACAAAATGAAACAAGATTTTTGAAACTGGTTTTATCCAATGTTCAGATTTCTGTTCTGGAAATGTAAGTAAATGCATTTTTAAACATAACATTTCAGAAAACTTGTAATAAAAAACAATTAATGTACTATTAATAATCAACTGGGGAAGTATGGTGATATCTTTTTTTTTTTTTTTTTACATTTTTACCCTATTCACCTTACCATCTGCCACTCTAGATTATAATAAAAGCATAAATCCCTCAGATGTATTATACACATAACTACAGTATTTGGTACATTTAATTTTTAAAGGGTCTATAATTACTGTATTATTAACATTGTTTTACTAAGATATTAAGATTATGATACATGTAAACATGGTTCACAGTGTTTCACATTTTGAATAGGGGGCCATTTCATTCACATTTCAGTTCAATGTATTATGGTGAGCATGCATCTTTTCTGCCCTATGGTTTTTGCAACTTTGTAGAGGAAGAAAGGTATTTATTAATCCCACTTGTAAAATTTGTGACATTTGTGAAATTTACTTTTGAGTTTCTAACAGTTTGCAACTCATAAAAGCATGTAAAATAAACCAGAATACTCATACAAATACAACATTTGGTATCTATTATTAACAATGTATTTCAAAGACAGTGAGATTATAATAGGTCTACATAAAACATGTCAGTGGTCACATTCTGAATCATGTTTAATTTACATTAAAATAAATTATATAAGAAAATTGTAGACTTCTGAATATTTTATATTAAACAAAACAATTTGTTTGCATTACTATATTATTTGGCGTTGATAACAAGACTATTAATAACATAGCTTGTAATCTATTGTATCTTATTTTATAAAAATGGACACAATAGCCAGGTAGAAGAAAAAAATCAGACCAGATTGTTGGAGCAAAAACATGTGCTCACATGTGAAACTGAGATAAATGGTCGTGCCCAAAATAACAGATATCAAAACAAAACACAAATCCAGTACTGTACTTTCAAAAGCTGTCATTGGCTCACTGTGTTGGGATGTATGTCACACTGTGAGCGCCTGTAAATCTGCACATTGCTGTACGAGTCTCGTGCACAACAAAAGACGACACTCCCCTCTTGGCGCAAAGAACCGCACGCGCTCCTTCTCATTCTACCCATGATGCCCCGCGCGCGTCTGCTTGGATCGAGCCGCCATGTTGTCGGTGTGAAAGCTAGGGAGCTGCTGCGAACCGGGGCTGAAATCCGTCACCATCCGCATCTTCCACCTGTGAGTAACCCTCTGTTCTGAAACCGACTTTAAATCCGGTACCGTTTTAGCTTATTAGGCGTTTATATTTTGGGGTTATGAGGCGTAGCGAGTGGTTTTGAGGGCTTTGTTGTAAGGCTGTTGCTCCCTCTCCTCTCCCCGGGTCTTCCTCCTGCTGTAGTGTTCTTCCTGTCCAGACGGCCCGGGCCTTTTGTTAATGAGTACTTGTAGAATAGCGCAGAGCCGGCCCGCGGACTCACAGGAACCGGTCCGTGCGTTTCACATACCCGTTTGTGTCGTTTTTTTTTGGAATCCAGCATTATTTCACAGTATAGACCGTGTAACAGGCATTAAAACGTTTCATCTAAGCCTTCCCAGACAGTTCCGCCCCTCACCCATTCCCATGTCATGAATTAATGGGTGACAATTCATGTAAACGCGTGTGTTTGACGACCGTCTGATATCAACGGGTTCATATACACCGTTAGTGACTGTATTCTCTTCCCTCCTCCTCCTCCTCCTCCTCCTCCTGTGGTTTGCTAGTGGGCAAAGGCGCTCGTCTTTTGTTACCTGTTTGTGTTATCGTGATGCAAACGCATGCTTTGATCATGGGCAACCAGTTACGGTATCTAGGCCCACTTCCGGGAGGTCTGCTTACAGTCGCCCAAGCTCAGGAGCGCTTGTTTCCGGGTGTCTATGGCGCTTGGGCCATGTAATGGCGAACCTGATCAGGCTACCGGCGATTGTAAATTGCTTGTAATCTACGAGGACAATTGCTGTGCCTAAAAACTTTTTTAGGCGTCATATGCGTCTCCACACGTCAATGTAGGTAGTTTAATATCTTAGGAGACACTTGTTATATTGAGTATAACAGTGTTCACTCACTTTTTCAGTGGCCTTGGTGCTGGTAATTATTTTTTCTATACAGATGTATGGACATAACTTTTGATTTTAAGCAAAACAAGTATTTGAATAAACAAAAAGACACTTACTGAGGGAAGAACTACAATCCTATCCCAATCCCATGAAGCATTTAATCAAAAAAAAAAAAAAATGGCGAAATATAGTGGCCTTGGTGCTGGTAATTATTTTTTCTATACAGATGTATGGACATAACTTTTGATTTTAAGCAAAACAAGTATTTGAATAAACAAAAAGACACTTACTGAGGGAAGAACTACAATCCTATCCCAATCCCATGAAGCATTTAATCAAAAAAAAAAAAAATGGCGAAATATAAAACTTGATTTAAATTTGTTGTAAAAAAAAATGTGGTTTATATATTTAACTATTTAATGCAAAGTATGCATATTATACATACAGATATTTAAGTTACTTGAAAGTAGGGCTGCAACAACTAATCGATAAAATCGATTATTATCGATTAC